TAATTGCAACTTAGATTATCAATGTTCATTAATAATATACTTTGACTTAACATTAATAAAAAATCTCTATTATTAATGATCATAATAAAGAACATAACATCATATTTTGATGAAATTAACAATCCGATTAAAGTTTAATGATAATAAATAATATTTATCTTATCTTAATATTGAGAACATCAACTTCCCAAAAAAGTTATTTAAATTTACTTAAAAATTAAAAAAAATATATTTTTTATATTTATTTATAAAATTTTCTCTCACTAAATAAAATTTTCCTTTTTTTCTGTCAAACTTATTACTAAAAAAAATAAATAGTTGAGTATTATAAGATATTTTTATTTGGGAAATGTTATGTGCTTAAAATTATTAAATCATTAAATCTCATTATATATTGAAATAATTGTATGCGTATTTTTTTATTTATCAAATGCATTAGATAAAACCTTCCCGCATAATTAATTTTATTTGCCCAACGGGTTTGATTTCCTTCGCATCTTCCCTTTCCTCAGGCAATAATCTCTCCTATTACGGTGCACGTGCTCGCATAATTCTTGGGGTGGCTCGCTTTCCAACTCCCATTGTTCATCAATGCACAAAGAGAGAGATAGATAGAGAGAGAGGAGAAGGAGGGTGGTGGGGTCCAGCTGCTGACGTTTCCCTGCGGCTTTTCAAATCTCGATACTGTTTGGCCGCGACTTCTCCCTCGTGATTTCCTTCCTGCGTTGTGTCGCGGGAAGGCGGCGGCTTAAACGGCCAGCCTGTGAAAGTACGGCCGCGGCGTTTCTCCGATCGACAACATATTTCTATGTTTCTTAAAATAAAAAAAAAACGATTTTACTGAAAATTCAAAATTGAAATAATTCTAAAATTTGTAATCTGGATTATTTTAAGAGAAAATAACAAAAGTTTTTTTTTTACCCACCGATGGGCGAGCACGGTGAGTACCCTCCATACTGGGTTCGATCCCCTCGGACGGCAGCGCCCCTTCGGTGGGGTCCAATAAGTGTCAGTCACGAGTTCTAATGGGCGTGGGTAGCTCATCCAGGTCGACCGGGGTTTACGGACCGCCAAGCGCCTTGACTAAGTCAACATGCAGCGAACAGTTCCTCGTCATAAAAAAACAAAAAAAAGAAATTTTTTTCTAAAATATAAAGTGGTTCATTTTTTAAATATTATTTATTAAAATATAAAATATGTGTAGGAGAAACTAACCTCGTTTTTTATATTGAGCAAAATAGGATTGTGAAATACTTAATTTTTTACATGAAATAAAATAAAGGGATTTCTATGATAAAAATTGGGCAATTGTATTTATTGAAGGAGGACAAGTAATGAAAATACTTATTTTTTAAGAAAAGAAAGATTTCATGGTGGATAATTATCGATCCTAAGCTCTTACTAGTTCACTGCTGAAAATATATATAATTTATATGAGAATATCATGATCATTAAAATTATATGTGTTGCGTCCAGGAGTATTCACGGCGGTAGAGAAATATTTTATCGTCTTAGTGTTGTACGAAAATCCGACACGCAATCAGATAAGAGAGAGGGTCTAGCATTTATGAGACACCAAGATTTTTACGTGAAAAACCCCTAAAAATGGGGAAAAACCACGAGGCCTAGCCCAGTTTGAATGAATCCACTAGTATTGTAGTCGATTACAAATGAGGCCCTTCCTTTGAGGAAGGCATAGGTTTGATGTACATTATATGAAGTACATTACATATTGGGAATACTAATAGTCGCTGTTGACGTGTTCGTTTGGTCGGAAGGACCGTAGTCGGTGAGCGACGTAAGTCAGGAAGACCGTAGTCGGCTGGCGACGAAGGTCGGAAGGACTGTAGTCGACGGGCAACGTAAGTCAGGAGGACCATAGTCGATAGGCGACGGATGTTGGAAAGACTGTAGTCAGTGGGCGACATAAGTCAGGAGGACCATAGTCGGCTGGCGACGGAGGTCGGAAGAACTGTTGTCTAAAGACGAAGATCGGAAGGACGACATCAGGTAGAAGTCCAACAATGGAAAGAAATCCATCTTCACATAGACGTCCTGTGAAGTCCAATAACCGGTGGAAATCCGACGTCGGGTAGAAACTTGGCGAAGAGTGAAGGTCCGATGTCGGGTAAAAGCCCGACGTTTGTTGGTGGCAGGGGAGAACTCCGGCTTCACTTGGGTTGAGTTTCGGCGCCATGAGGGAACTCTGCTGTTAATTGGGAAGAATTTCAACATCACGTGGAAGTTGGGCAGAATTCCGGCGTTCTCCCGAATATCACGCAGAATCCCGGCGTGTTCAGGCGGCAGGACAAACTCTGGTGGTGGTCGAGGAGGAGATGGTTCTCCTTTTCCCCTTCTCTTCCTCTTATATTCTTCTTCTCTCTCCTTCCCTCCTCCTCTTTGTGAAGAATGAGGGCTCTATTTTTAGTTTTTCTGGGATAACATAGCCTATAAATAGGTGTGAGACCAGGGGCGAATTGGGAGTGGTTTGAATGAACGACTGATATTGAATCCTACGAAAGTGCACCGTTCGTTGGACATTTGAAGGCCTTAATGATGTTGGAATTTGGCGATCTTGGGCTCGTTGGATTCGTCTCGTCGAGCTACTCGATTCGAGTATAAGCTCGTTAAAATCGGAGACCGTTTGGTTATTCAAATTGCGGTTTGAACCTTCCAATAGCGCTTTGGGTCCTTGATTCAGACTCATTTGGGCTCGGATTGGATCGAATTTGGTGTCGTTGGGTTCATATTTCCGAGACGCTCAGCTTGACTGTAAGCTCGCTGAAATCGGAGTTCAGATGCTCTCGAATTTAATTTTTGAAGTTTCTGAACTGATATTGTCTCGAGATTCGTGCCCAATCAAGATAATTTTATGAGAATACATCTATGTATACTTTTTAAAAAAAATAGAATCACATTTTTCTCAGTTTATTTTATTTATTAATTTATAAATTTCATGTTGGATAATTATCGACACCCACAATTATCCCTTAATAAAATATATTCATTTACGCAAAATTCCACTATATAAGGTGGGGCTGATTGAGGCTTTGTTTGTTTGAGCGTTTTTTTGCCTTTTTCGTTTGGAAACGGAGGATTTTTTATTTCTTTTGGGTTGTCAAATCACGTTTCTCGTAACTCTTTTTTTATTATTTTTTCTGCAGTTTTGACAAAGCTTTTTATATATGCTTCTCTGTTAGAAAACTCAATTTTCTGAACTAATATTTTTTAAAACTGTCTCTTACAAAAACACCAAAAAAACAAACGAAGCCAGATTTGCTGGCTTACTCAACCCATAAATGATATTCAATGATATTCGATAAGATATTGACAATAAAATTTCACCATAAAACTTACATAATATATAGAAAAAATGATATGCTCATCAAATTTTTTTTATTATTATGAGTTTCAAATCTAGTAGATTTGATTCAGTATGTGTATTATAGAAAATTTGAATTGTAATTGATGTATCATACATGTTGCGTGTTAAATAATTTGTAATGACGGGTATTGGGTGTTTTAACTTCTTAGCTTCCAGAAAGATCCAATAAATTAAAATAAATAATACAAAGAATATAGTAAATACCAAAACATTTATTTGATGAGTCGTAAAAGTCAAAAAAATCATAAGACATGAACTAGATGAAGTGATCCATTATATAAAAAGATCATGGGGTTATTTGGTTCATGGAGTATAAAGTAATTAATGCAAATGCAATGTAAAATTTTAGTGCATTTGAAATTCACAATCTAGTTCGTTTTCTATGTATTTGGAATTACTCTGATTTAGGTGAGTTCTAAATGCTCAGAAAATTCATTACAATTGCCGCCACTCGTGGCCTTTGACCATCGCCAGCACTACTCATCAATGCCGATCACACCCACCATTGTTGGCCACCCCAATTTTTGACCCACTGCCACCGACCACCAACGTCAATCGCTAATCACCAGCATCATCATTGGTCGCCAACTGCCTGCCACACTGTTCGCTATATTTTTTGCACTTTTTATTGCATTCATTTTACTTTAAACTTAATAAATAAAGTAATCCCGTGCATTTATTTTACAGTCACCCAAGGAACTCTAAAGTATCTACTTTATGCATTCATTTTTCAAACAACCCACCAGCTCCTACAATGAGTTTGTTATTTCCTTTAATTGAAGAAGATAAAATTAGAAAGTATGTAACATAAGTTTTGTAAATGTGGGAAATGTTTGAGATCCATAATAAATGACGATTGCAAAGTGATGATAGTCAAATAATAATAATTAGGCAACAACGATCGAACAATGACAACGAGTTGACAATCATCAAATAATGACAATCATGTAATGACAGTTGAACAATTATTGTTAGGTGATAGCCGTCACATAGTGGTAGGCTGGTAGCATGCGATGACGGTCGAATGATGGTAGTCAGGTGATGACGATGGCCAGCTATTGGTAGTTTTCAACCTCAAATGTCAAATAGAACCCTAAAATTCTTCAAATCTCTAAGCTTTCTCCCTCTTCAAGTCTAGGCTCCCTTCATGTGGAGAATGAAGGTTTATATATGCTACATTTAAAGTAGGTATTTCTACAATTTTAATCAAATTTCATAACACTCCATTAAACTGCTCATATCAAATCATTTGATCATAAATGATTTATTTGGCTTTTAATGTTTTAATGATCTCAGAATTAAGCAATATCGGGCTTGTTGGATTCGTCTTGTTGAACCGCTCTTTTTAACAATAAGCATGTAATATTCAAATATAATTTTGTTTTTAAATTAATATTCCAAAATTTCTAACTATCCTTCATGTGTTGATTTTGACATATTTGGACATTCAACCCTCAACCTATGATTTCATTATCGAAACTCTAACATAACACATTATTAATCAAAACTAATATTTCATCAATCTTAACACAAACATAATAACATTAAAATTTATCATAATAACCAAATTTTGCTCTCCAAAAAAAATTCCAATAAATAAAAAATGTATCATGAATGTTATTACCTCACAAGTCACAAACATTCTATCAAAACGCATCGAATATTGGATCATCATTGCTGGAACACGATAAGAACCCACTCCTCCTCCCTCCTTCCCAACCCACAAAATCTGTTACCTTCCACACCTTAATCGACTTATCCAAACTCCCGCTATAAACCACCCATCTCCGACCACCCACAGCCTCCTCCACGTTAACATCTTCCTCCACCGCGAGACACTTTACCGGCCCCTCGTGCCCCGTCAGCACCGAAAGCCACACGTGTCGCGTCCCATTCTCTTCCCTCCCCCACACGCAGATCGCCTTATCGGCTGATCCCGTGAACACCAAATCCCCCGCCAAAGCCAAACAAAGCACCGAAAATTTATGACCGTTCAAAATTCCCAAACGCACCAAATTCCGCCCCCAAAAACTGACCCGCCCATCCGACGATCCACAATACAACACGCCCGCACCCATGCTCACACCCAAAGCCGTCACCGCCGACTCCTGCCGTACCAACACCGCCACCTCCACCACCCGGCGCCCAGTCTGACTCTTACCGCTCGGCTCAACCCGCCAAACCTTAACCGTCCCGTCGGCCGAACCGGAAAAAACGAACCCATCGAACCCGATAATTACCGAATTAACCGCGTCGTCGTGCGCGTTAACCGAGTCGAGACAGCGAGAATCCGAAACCCGCCACAGTTTGAGCGATCGGTCCCATGAACCGGAGTAGAGGAAGCCGTTGATGTCGTCTAGGGCGAGGCAGGATACCGCATCGGAATGCCGAATCTTTCGCCGGCTTAGCGTGCTCTTAATGTAGTCTTTGAGGCGAGGGAGAGTGCCGAGACGGGCATGGATTTGGGGGTTTTGGAGGGAGATTTTCCAAGTTCGAATCTTTCCGTCTTGATGGCCGGTAAAGATCTGACCTTTGGGGGATATTACAATGGCTTTGACGAGGCCGCTGCTGGATTTGAATCCGGTGAACTCCTTCATGTTTTTCCATACCCGAATGTTTTTGCTGTCTGAGCCGGTGTAGAGAAGGCCGTTGAAGGTGGCGAGGGAGTAGATGTGGCCTTCTTCGCGAATGAGAGAGGCGATGAGACCGGTGCCGGAGGGGAAGAGGTCGGTTTGATCCGGCGGAATGATGAAGGGATTGGTGTGGGAAGTCCAAGGAGAGGTTCTGTAAGGAGACATGGGCAAGGAGACGTTGCTGTGGCGGTTTGAAGAGCTCTCTTCTTCCAATGAGGATTTGATTGAGGCGTCTGAGTACATGAGATCAGAATGGTTGTAGCCGCAGGAGCATTACTTTTTTCTCTGATTTCGGTGTTGAGTTGAGAGGGATGGAATGAGAAGGAAGAGGAAGAATGAGACGTAGGGTGTGTAGAAATGAAAGAGGATGGTGATTGTTTGAGGATGCGAGAGGGGTGGGGGAGAGAATTGCGGATGGCCATAGGCAAAAATTAGTTCAGTTTTTTTTGGATCTGCATTGGTGTGGTTTCTAATTTTGTTTCACGAATTTTTATCCTCTAAATAGACAAGATTCTTATGGATGGATATAAGATGTATATATATTTATATTCCGGCTTAGTTTGAACTTTAACGGGAGGTTTTGGGTGGTTGGTGGACCAGCACAGATGGAAATCTCACATTCCGTGTTTGAATTATCTTTACTACGATCTTGCCTTTTCAATGGGGCAAAGCAAGTGTGGGTCTAATGCCGGTGGGTAGCCTGACTAGCTTCAACCGAAGGATTAGTTATACCCCGGTCAAACGCTTCCTATGGAGTGGTAGCGGGTAGAAACCCCGTTCAAAAAAAAAATAAAATAAACTTTAACGGTCTCAAGATCTGTGTAAATCTAGTGGTCTAACGTTAGTATGCACAGTCAAATTTTTAATTTTTTTTTAACATTTGATCAATCAATTAAAATAAACTCACACACACATCACATAGACAAGTTTAGAACACAAGGCCTCTTAGTTGATAGTCAAAACTCCCAACCAAAAAATCAAGGTGAGCTGCGTCAAGGGGTGGAGCAAAAAAAATTTAATTTTGAGGTACAAATTAATGATTTTCAAAGTAATCTCAACTTTTTTTTTTTTTGACTTTTTTAATTTATGATTAATAGTTCATAGTGAAATAATATTTGAATTTTTTTAGAAATATTAATATTTATTTCTAATAATTTATAAAATCCTATATTCTATTAGTTTCATTAGACACAACCCTATGATTACTTTATTTTACCTTAAATGTTTAACTATTAATTTTATTAAAAAGAATTATATGTGTTATAAAATTTAGATTTTATAATAATGTAAGCTAAAAATAGTAGAGATCGAATTCTTAATGGCTCCTTGGCCTAGATGGTAACACCATTTGTTCAAAATTTGAAAGGAGTCAGGTTTCTTTGTTGCAGGCTTTACTATTAGTTTTTGTTGCTGTGGGCTTTAATATTAGATGTTTTCTTAATGGGCCAGTGGGGGTGATGTAGTGGATCGGCGAAAGACGATACCTGCAAGAAGGATTTGAGGATTCTCAATCCAGGGAAGAAGAAGAGGAAAGCTTCTCAAGCTTCAAAGGGTTGTATATATCATTCAATGCCTATCTATTACAAAAACCTCCTATTTATAAAGCAAAAAGAGAATTCTAGAAGCTTGTTCTAACAAACTTAGATAAGGTGTCCTAGGGAACACCATAAGCATAAGATGCACCGCATCATTCTCCCCTAGCGTAAAAAAGGCTCGACTCCGTCGAGACGCATTATTGACAAAGAAGTTGCAGAAGGTAGATTCCCGGATCGAATACTTTGAATGCGGGCTTTAAAATTACCACATGAAGAGGTTTTCCCCAATCCAGGTGAGGAGGTTCAACTTTGAATTCCTTGAATTGAACTAGCATTTCAGTTTGCCAATTGGTTGATGAATATGAGTTTTCGGCACAGAACCAATCCCTTTCCCATAGTCCACAAGATAGAGAGGTGAGCATATTCTTCCATTTAGTTTTGTTCCTTTCCTCCTCTTCATCCCACAAGTCATCCAGCACAAGTAAGAACCCTTTTGATATTATCTCAGATTTAAGGTTCTTTTGAATTGCATAAAATGTATCAAACGGAGGTCTACTCATTTTAAGAGATTTCAACATATCTGCAATGATTTTTTCCAAATCAAAGTCGTTGAATACACAATCCCATAGATTAAGATCAAATTCCTCAGTCATTTCATCTTCGTAGACAAGCTGCCAGAGAGTTGTCTCTCCCATACCACCATGCCCCACTATGGATAGAGGAGAAATGTTTCTGTACAATTCAATTACAGGATGCTCGTTTGATGACTTCCTTAACCATTGCATAACAAGCTCCTTATCCTTGCCACTACTGATGAGATCATTTATATGCAAGGATCCTGTTTCACTTGTTTTATACAACTCACGTTGCTGCAGCTTTATGTTTTTTAAAAGATGAATAAAAAGATTAACCTCAGCTGGAACTTTATCAAGTGTCTGCACAACCTCCTCTAGCCTCTTCAAATTGGGTTCATATCTTTTAGCGACATTTCGTCGAATAGATTGGGAGCGTTGCATTGAATCAACCTTGTCACTGGAATTTAGATCAGTCATTTTCACACCTATTCGGATATGACTTAGAGATGAGCATCGGCCTAGGGATTTCAGGATCGGACAAAAGAGGAAATTCCTGAGAGCACTTAGAGTATGTAGTTTGTTACCGAAGCGCAAATCCGGTGAGAGATTGTTCGTGAGTTTGTTAGGCAAAAGATCAAGGAGCTGGAGAAGACCATTTTTTCCTAGTTGCCTCGGAATGCTTCCTGTAAAAATATTTTCCCAAAGCTGAAGCACTTCAAGCTCGGGGAGATCACCTCTGAAGTCCATGATAATGCCAACAACATCACGTTGCTGTAAACCTAGAGGAATGGCTGCCATTTGGATTGGAGATGGCTTATTGTGACCAGCCTTCTCCACGTCGGCAAAGAGAGTGGCTGCCAGATCAAGCCGACCACATCTTGTCTGCGCTTCAATCATCATTGTATAAAGACCAAAGTTCGGCCTGAAGCCACTGGCCTTCATTTCATCCCAGACGGTAGGCGGTGCACGGACGGCGGAGGCCGTCTTGGCCACTGGTTTGAACGGAAGAGGCCGGGATTGAGGTTTGCTCAGAGCTTTCACGTGAAGGCCTTCTTGATTGGCAAGAGTGGAAGCGGGCCGGAGTTTCGCCGGATCCGGCGGTAGAGCTGCTGGCTGGAGGCATCAGAAGCGGACGTTGGGATCGGCTTTGAGGTCGGAGAGTCCGACCAGGTTGGTTTTGGACTCGGCGAAGGGAGCACGGAAGAAGCCGGAGAAGGCTTTAGGATCTTGATCGCGTGAGTGAAGGCCGGCATCGAGCTTTCCCGCCTTGTTTTGAGGAATGAAATCATTCTCCTTGTTCTGAGCACTAGAATCATAGGTAAGATCCTGCTCGTGAGATGAAGTGGCGTCAAGACTAGAATCACGGCGTGAGAGATCGGGCTCGACAACATGAGCTAGATCATGAGAGCATAATGGGAGTGGAGGCGAGAGCTCAACAGGGGCAGATGCTTCTTCAACTTCCAGATCCGAAATAGCCAAATTATGCCTGATTCTGCTTTGTGAATCAAAGACCTCCTGGACATGCTCTAGATGGCGGAAGGAATTGGAAGCGAAATCGGAATAAGCTCTGACGCTGGACAATGGGCGTGCGACCAGATCTGAACGGCATTTGGCGTGCTTGAGCGGAGGGGGTTCGCGCCACCGGAGGGGAAGCTCGAGTGGAGGTTCGTCGTCAACTACGGTGAAAGAATGTCGGGATTGATGTCGTTTGCGAGAAGCGGACGAGGACAGTGAAGAAGAAGAATGCCTCGGTATGGTTGCTGACGACATCCTCATCCTCCTTATTGACCGAAGGGTTTCGCGAATCCGATCAAGGTTTCTATCTACCTGATCGAGCGACTTCTTCGATTGAGCTTGATAGAAGGCGATCCGGCTTCGAGCATCGTTGACAGCCCACCTTCCTTGGCGTCGATCGTCGTCGACCGCCAATCTTGTTTTGCGGCTTCGATCGTCGTCGACAGCCGACCTTCTTCCGCAGTCCATCGATCTTCACAAGCTCCAGACTCTGATACCAACTGATGTAGTGGATCGGCGGAAGACGATACCTGCAAGAAGGATTTGAGGATTCCCAATCCAGGGAAGAAGAAGAGGAAAGCTTCTCAAGCTTCAAAGGGTTGTATATATCATTCAATGCCTCTCTATTACAAAAACCTCCTATTTATAAAGCAAAAAGAGAATTCTAGAAGCTTGTTCTAACAAACTTAGATAAGGTGTCCTAGGGAACACCATAAGCATAAGATGCACCGCATCAGGGGGCATGAGGAGCCCCACGGCCCACGGTGATTTTAAGATAACTAAAGAATTTTATTTGTTATCTAGTTTGAATGGCCTTGATCATATATGGAATTAAGGGATGATTATAAATGAAATGAAGTTTTAATTTTCTTTTATAAATATAAGATGTTTCTACACTAAATTTATATAAAATACCTTTGATTGAACTCATATCTTTTTAAGAATAATCTCTTAGAATCAAATCATATGATTATAGAATGTTCCATAACTTTCTAGAATAATATTTTAAGGCTATGGATGTTATTAAAATATATAGAATCTTATATGAGAAAATGGTTGTATAAGAAGTTTTTTATTGATAAAATAAAGTGTAATGGCCTTTGTCAAATTACAAGGCATTTATATTAAAAATAAGTAATTTTTTGTGTTATTGGACCACCATTCAAAGTTTTTATTTTCTTATACTTTTTATGATATGGTGCATTATTTTAAGCAATTTTTTTGTATTACTATTATATTTCTATGAGTGGCATTTCTATTATGATATTCTTTAAAACTACTCAAGAGAATTGGTAGGATAGAAATTGAGAGTTAGAGATACAAAAGTAAATAAGAAGAATAAATACTCATTAGAGGCAGGGTCTAATTATAAAGCGTCTTTCCCTGTTAATTTTATGCGTAAGACTTTCAATCTTTTTTATCTTTCTCCTTAGCCTTATTTATATGAAACTAAGGAATCTTTAGCCATAAGAAAAAAAAATTATGCATAACTACATGATCTTTAATTAAATATCCTATTTTTTTATTACAACCAAGTAGGAACTCTACATTAAAATGATCAAGACATATTATAGTCAACTAAGGACTCTTTTTTCATCTCAAACTCACATATCCTCTCAACTAGAGGGTAAACTAATAGAGATTACATATATATAGTTGTTTGTAAATCCTAAGGCTCTTATGTTAATGGTCATTGAGGTGGATTAGTAATGATAACAAGTGATTGGGAATGATACCATACATGATTTAAGTCAATTTGTGGATGGTTTACAAGAGTAGAGGGTCAAGTGTTTGGGCTAATTTATTTTGTCATAGCCTCATAGGAGGAGGGTTTGATCATCAAGGGAAAAATGAAAGAAAATATAGTTAAATGATGAAACAAAGCATAGTGGGATACATCAATTATTGAAGAAGAGGTGGAATATTTTACCAATTTAAAAGGAAAGACTTATAATATCTCAGTCTCCAAGCTCTTTTGGGCTACAATATAGTTGATCAACCTAAATTATATTTGTCTCTATAGTGTGCTTAAAATAGCCCCTTAAGAAGGCCGATAAAGATGAAGTTATAGGTAGCATCCCATCTTGAGATAATTTTGAAGAGGATGAGGGCATGCGAGCTAGAGGAAATTGAAAGTTCGTTAGAGATGTTAGGCCCTTATGAACTAGCCCAAGGCTAATTAAGAGAGAGGTGAATTTGTATTTTAAAAATTCTTTCGCAATAAAAAAGCAAAATCAAAATAGACCACAAAGAAAACACAATGCGGAAATTAAATGCGGAAATAATAAAGAAAAGAACACACCAGATTTATAGTAGTTCGGTCAAACCTTGACCTACATCCACTCCTCGGAGGCACCCTCCGAGTATTGCACTAAAATAAGTGTCTCTCCTTTAGCCCCTACAGCTAGGCGGAGAAGCCTTTACAAAATCACTTCCACCTTCCCCGGTGGCGCGGAATAGCCGGGTCCTTTGACACCAAAGAGATCTTCTTCTTCCGTGAACTTCCCTCAAGACAAGCCTTGAATCCGACGGTACTAAGGTGCAAGCTCGTTGGAGCAACCGTGTGGAATCCCCCTCCACACTCCCTTGAGTCCCCCTCCAAGGATCTTCTCCTTCTCTCAAACTCCAACCTTTCCTCTCTCCCTTCCAAGCTATCTCTTCAAGTTTCCCAAAAAAAAAAAAAAAAAAAATGAAGCTACAATGGTTGTCAAAGACAATTACCAAGTGTCTTGTCAAAGCATAAATAGAATATCTCAAAACAAGCTAATTAATGCAATTTGCCGACTTTATCGTCCAGGCCGATATAAATATCGGCATGGCCGATCAGCGTAAATTACGCTCAATCAGCTTGGTCGGTTAGGGATAATCAGGATGATATTTATATCATCCTGGATGATTAGTTTAAATCAAAGGAAAATCGTCCTGATCATCGCCCTGAATAAAAGCTGGCCGATGTCAAATCGTCCCGGTCAATCCTGCGATTAGCCTGACCGATGTGATTGTACAAATCATCATTAATTGCTTTCCTTAATTACCATATTAATTTAGGCAAACTTGTGTTGGATCGTTCAGGACAATGCCCTGGACGATGTCCAAAAATAAGTAATTCCTAAATAAATATGGCATCTGATTCTTTTTGTTTTTAAACCGATCGTCCAGGCCGATATAAATATCATCTCGGATGATGTTATCAAAAATAGTAAACTCTAGGAAACAGTCAGAAATTATTCCAAGGTGTGTGTGCAAGATTACTTAGCATCAGGAGCCACACCAATTACAATAGACTCAAGAAAGGAAAAAAAGGTACAAACTGACTCAGACTTAGTGTACCCAAACTTGAGCTGGTTCCAATTGAAGTCTGATCTTGTGGACCTGAAATGTCAATAGGTAAGGCAGTCGTAGAGAAATAAAAGTGTTTGCTATTATCAAAATCATGATTCATGAAAACAGATTCACAATAGAAATCATATTCGAAAATATTAAAGAAAATGGTCCACATTGCAATATTAGAGATGATTTGATCCTTGACAGTGACAAAGGCTTGTGGAAACCATTGGGTGCCTAGTGATTAGTAGACGATTTGATCATTGAGAGTGACAAATGTTTGCGATAGAGAAACATTATTGTGTTCTAGGGAATATTCTTAGCACAATTGTTACTCTGTACATGAAGTGGCAATATGATTCATGTTAAGTGGTTAGATAGAGCAATAGTGATTTAATATGTAACATGAAAAAAATGTACAATCTTTTATAATTTCATAGATGAATGTAATAGTTTTAGAGGAAATTTTCTTACAAATGTCTAAAAAGGTGGATTCTATTTGTAACTCCTGGGTGGTTTGATTGACTTGTGTTAAGAATGAAGTTTGATAAAAATCTTCAAACAATCTAATAAATCCCTTCCAATTTGATAGATAAGAAAGCTTGAGCTGACCAATATCATATATGACATTATTAGCCTATGGTGGTATTTGACTAGCCCCTCAAGGCCATGTTTTATATCCAATCATCTACACTTAAAAACAACTCTAAAACTTTCTAAATAGATTGATTTTAGTAATTCTAAACACCATTATGCATACTTATTGTTATTATTGATGTTGTTTTATTCTCGTCCCTACTTTTTTTTCATTATATTAATTGTTAAGAAATGGATAAAGATGATGATTCAACAACTTTAGATCAATACTCCTTACAAGTAAGTGACAGAGGATTAATGGGAGGAAACGAGACAATTCTAGTAGCGATGATTATTATAATGGAAAATGCAACAATATTGGATGTTTTTGAGGTGATAATATAGCTAGGAAATAATAGAGATGTCGGTAGGGGCCACGATAGTTGTAGAGGCCTCCACATCTCAATCCTTCTTTGGGGTGATGCAAATGGAAACTTTGTTGGTGGTATAGTTGGAGTTATTAGAGTTGAGGTTTCAATAAGGATAATAATGTTTTGATTGGCACTCCTTCAAAACTCTCATCTATTAAGAGGCAAATAGAAGATGCTACTATTCATAGAGTTGGAGGAACAACCCTCTTGGGCACATGGTTGAGTGGATGGTGACACCAAATATCAGGATTATGTGTTGTGAGACACAAATTTAAGTTTTTGTTGCATTGTAGGGTATCAACTCTATTAATTTCCACTCATTCTTGACCAGCCCAATGTTCTCTGCCAAGCTAATAATGAGAGGGGGGAGATTAGATTTCTCGTGACGGTGAGAATAGTTCAATGATGACACCACCTACTATATAAGGCTATGTTGGTAATATTTCTCACTCAGTTTTTAGACATACACAACTAGAGATGAATGCAAAATCATATACACACACTATAATTCCTCGATTTGGATGAAGCCAGTTGAGAAGAGCGTAAGCAAAATACTTTCACTTGTAATATGTATCTTTATTTTGAGGAGGATAATTGGATTAAGCTTTTATTAATATGAAATGTTAAAAAAATCATAATATTCAAAATTTAATAGAAGTTATCTCATTAATCTATTTAAAATTTTGATAATAAAACTAAATATAAAATTTTATTAGTTACATTTAAGATTATAAATTTATAATATTTCATAAACATTTATTTTTTTTCTTTATTTAATATAAATTTATAATCAATTTGTTCATTGAAATTTTCATAAGAAGAATAACTGAATAAGAACAAACACATGATATAAATAATAAGATAAACTAAAATAAGAAGTTTCGGGATGCTCAGCTGAAAGCGGTGCCCTCCCCATTCTCCTCTCCGCGGCCTCCACAGGCGGCAATTTATAAGGTTAATGAGTCTCCTTTCCACTAAGAAACCTCTGGATAACGTCTTGTTTCTCGTCTTCGGTCTTTCCTCCGGCCTGTGAGCAGAGTAAGGTACAATCTTTTCTCATTGCTTTTCTTTTTAGTTGAATTATTTAGGAATAAAACTTCACCCCTTCACCTTATTTCGTCCAAAAAGAGGTATAATGAAGTTATGAATGATCAAAATTTGGCCTTGGGTGCAGAAATCTGAAGCTTTTGTTTCTGTGATGGATAGGATCATGTTGAGCTTCGCGAGGAGGAAGGTCCTGTGTGGAAAATTCAGTGCTTCGGTTAAGAATGCACCTTTTCTTTCATTTTGCCTGTCTTTGGGAAGTCGACGGGTTTCTATCATTCTATGTTACTGCTATTAAAATTTGTTTTTTTTTTTTTTTTTTCGAATTTGGTATAAGGTTCTTGGTAAAGCTTTTGAGAGGATTCCGCGGGCAACATACCCGTCTACGAGAAACTATTCAAGTTCGCTGAAGGAGGTACCAGCTTCCCACTTTCAGTCGGTAGCTAGTGAAATCTACTAGCTATTTCTGTTTAAACAATATGGGCATATATGTGCTGCTTATGGATGATCAGAGGACAATTCAAGGCTTTTATTATTCATTCCATTCTGCTATGTCAATATTTACAACTGCAGTAGTTACTGTAGTTATTGCCATTGGTACAACAACTTGTTGATTGATGGACTATTTGATTTCATCATTTCACTAATGTTAAATTTATTGATTTCCACCTCATTTGTGCCTTCTTCTATTTTTTATTGTGAGTACATACATTCTGACCATGTTTAGAATGATTAGTTTTTTAAAAAGATACTCATTAAAAATCAATGGTGTTATAGGATTCTAGTTAACAAATCGATTGGCCACGACTTTATTGGCCTGAAGTAATTCATAAAAGACTGATTATTTAAACAATTATAGGAGTACTACTGCAGTTGCAAACGACATGTGAAGCTTAGAAACAATCAGTGGTGTGTTATGGATGGTTTACTGGTTTGACATAAAAATAAACATGAGGAATACTCAAGAATTGGGAAATAATGAAGATCACCTAAGTGTCTCATAGAAAAGATGGAAGAAAACATGATGAGGCACAATGAGAAAGATAAGTAAATGGCCTCATTCTTATTAACATAAGGAAATATGAAAAAGATCCCTTTTTTGGACCGGCGAATAAACATAGAACTATCATATTTGCAACTCTGAAAACCATGTTCTCTTGCATTGTAATTATTGGCTCCTTTCATTAGAAGATTTGTGAAACTTGGTAAGGGAAATATGTACACCTATCCTTTGAAGAAAACAAGTGAACAGTTCCTTTATTTCATAAGCTATGAATGACGACTTCAATTACTGCAGATGACAGTCCGCGATGCTTTGAACACTGCTCTTGATGAGGAGATGTCTGCTGATCCAAAAGTTTTCTTGATGGGAGAAGAAGTAATGTTTATAAATTCAGTTTATGGATGATCTGAAATATGTACTCCAAGTTTGTTTCTTCAATTTGTTCTCATAATTGGATATTGAGTTGTACAGGTTGGGGAGTACCAAGGCGCTTACAAGGTCACACTTCAGTAATTTGGAGACTTGTTCTACATAAATGTTTTAAACGTTTTTTCTTTCTAGTATTTACTTCTCAATTTTCTTTCAGATTTCAAAGGGATTGCTTGATAAATATGGTCCTGAGAGGGTTATTGACACTCCAATCACTGAGGCTAGTTGTGAGATCAATCAAATTGAAGTCATTTACCCATCCTCTAGGTGACTATTTTGAATTCTTCTTTTTATTTGGGTCATACTTGCAGGCTGGCTTCACTGGAATTGGAGTTGGGGCAGCTTACTATGGACTCCGTCCGATAGTTGAATTCATGACGTTTAATTTCTCTATGCAGGTTTGTGTCTGCCAACAATGAAAAAAAAAACTTTTATTGATGCTATCTACTGAAGACTATCTTTTAACATACACATTGAGAAAAAAATATTTGATTGTATTAGTAATAAAATAATCATTCAACTCTTTTAGAATATTAATAGAAGAGATTATTAATTATAAATTTTTATCATCTTCTTTTTTTTCTTTTTAAAATAACAAATTTAAATAAAAACATATCAAAAGTGCCAATGACACTATGACAGTCTCAAGCGCAAATGGAATATTGAAGGATTATTTCATTATTTGAAAAATCTAATTTGTGCCCCTACTAAAAAACACTTTTGGCACAACCACTACTTACGGACTAGTGATGACGGTCATATTTAATCTATCACATGCATTATTTGCCATTTTGTATTTTTTTTAATTAAAAATTTTCATTTGTCATCTAGGTTAGCTTGTTGTTGCATAAATATTTATCAATTTCATTAGTGCTCAACTTTGAATATTGCAAACGCCAATTTAATCAATTAATGGAAGAGGTTCCGTTTTTATCCTATGTACACATTACACAACTATCCTTTTATTTACGCCAAATTCCTCTCAGTTTGCTCAAGCAAAGTTCCTCTTTTTTTCTTATAGTTCTTTCTATACACTCTCCTCTTTGTTTCATCTAATGACCCCATTTAATGTAAGACATTCTATGGTCTTTATTTCTAATACAAATGTGTTATGTATTGCAAAATAAAACTATATGGAACACCTCTTATGCAAGAAAACATGCAAATTTCATGAGAAGGCAAGCTATTAGTTAGAAATAATGATTATTACCAATAATGAAAGCATAAAGTCAAATTCCAACAATTAGATTTGGCCTTATGAAAGAAATTAATAATAAGATATCAAAGATCATTAAACCCATGAAAGCGATTATGCGCAAAAACTAAACTAAATTGCAAAGGATTTCAAAGTAACCTATTGTACTTTCAAAGAATGTAAGGGAAGAGAGAGAATGAGAGACAAAGGAGAAGAGTGGAAGAATTGATTGATCAACAAGCCTTATGCTCAAACAAAGAGTTCACTCTTCTAAAATGGTTAAAGCTTCACATAGATGAAAAACTGGAATTTCTTATCATAAGGGATTTTTTTTTTAATTTATGCCATAGAATTGGCTCTCTTCATGACTCAAAACACACAAACATATATATATATATATATATAAGTAGAAATAACGGGGGACATTCCTTCTGTCTTTACTTCATACTTTGATGGATTTATTGAAGGAGGGAGCTGGTCATGCGTTTAACTTAGATCTTTAATGATAATACCCAACTCAACCTGGCACATTGAGCTGTTCGAAGATTCTGGATTGTTAGAGTCTTTGAAACTATAGAAGCTTGCCCATTAAAATTGTGAAATTGGTGCCACTATGGTTCCATTGCTTATATGGGTTTTTGAGCGATTAATATGGTTATCAACAACTAGGTTTTGAGCTGAGAGTTTTTTAAAGCTTTGATGAGCTAGAGAAATTGACACATTTACTTTTAAGTGCTTCATGCTTAGTTCTAGGATTTTAGTATTTTTATTTCTTTTTTGAATATATGTTTACCCTCATAAGTATAAAGCTTCGAGGGGCATTTGTGTTGGGTAAATTGCTGACTATTAGGAATTCTTGAGCTGTTGAGGTTAATTTGGTCCATAACCATAGAGATGTCAGATCTATGGTAGCCTTTTGCTTTCTTTGGAACTTGCACGAGTGGTGTGGTTGGATCCCATTAATTGTTTGTTGATTTTAATGTTGGGAATATGTTTGCAGCCTAATTGAAATCTCCAAGAGCAAATAAATGAAAGAAAATGCCACTTAACAAAATGCAGCCGTAATTTTGAATTGGTTTGGTGTTACCAAATTTATGGCTACTTTTTGTTGTTGCTATAGGTTTTACTATGATGTTGATGATGAAGGTGACAGAGCTAATCCATCCACTACCAAGCAGCTGACAAGCTCACCGACGTCCACATCGAGCTCTCAGCCTCAGACGGCGCCTGCTCCACTATTCCTGTAAAAGCATAACTTTATGTAACTGTCATGGGTATATTCGTAATTAGCCGTTGCAACGGTTGGCTTATTTAAAACCTTGTAATCTCGACTCTTGACCATTAACGAAGATTACTGTTCATTGTCTTCTTCGCTGAGCCACTCATGTCTTCACTGTGTTGTATTGAGTTTCATGGCCTCTTCATGGTATCAGAGCTTTTCGCCTAACGGCTCTACCTCGCCATGGCAGACTCCACTGCCTCTACTCCAAACACTCCACCAGCTGCCGTCCTGACTTCGGAAGCTATCACCACATCTCCAGATGTTGTGATTCCCCCCACCCTCAAATTTCTTCTAGCTAATATTAAGAACGTTATCAACGTTCAACTTCTACCGAAAACTATCCGACATGGCGTTCGGCGATTCACAAGTTATTTGCAGCAAATAACTTTTCCAGCTACCTCGACGGAACTATTCTATCCCCACCAAAACATTTTCTTACTGCGACTGGTCAGCTAACCCTCAATCCCCAATATGGACCTTAATAGATCAGAACCTCTCAGTTGCCCTGTTTTCCACTATTTCACATGCGATTCTTCCTTACATACTCTCCTTGAAAACTTCTTCAGCTATTTGGAAAACCTTAGAGCAAAGGTTTTTCTCTACCAACCGTTCCAGGGTTATACAACTCAAAAATAAGTTACATTCGCTCTCCATGCTCAACAAAACTATGACAGATTATCTTGCATCCATTAAAACAATCGTCGATAATATTCGAGCTGCCGGCAACAATGTAGACAATGAAGATATTCTTCATTACATTCTAAACGGCTTGCCACCACCCCTACCAGTCGTTCAAAATGACCATTAGGAGCTCCCTTCAGCCCATTTCCCTGGACGAGCTGTACTCACTACTTCGCAGTGAAGAAGTTCATCAGACTACTGATGCCGTTCGTGAACTTTCATTCTCTAATGCCGCTCAGACTGACGGGCAACTGGCATTAGTTTCAAATCGTGGTCGCTCTCGAGGCCGATCTTCCTACAGTCGTGGTCGAGGTAGGTTCTACTCCAACAATGCCGCAAGGTCCGCTCCACGTTCTCCTCGATTCGACGGTGACTGTCAAATCTGTGGCAAAAAGGGTCACTCAGCGACAAACTGCTGGCATCGTGGCAACTTCAGCTATACTCCTCCCTCCTCTAGCTCAAATGTGGCTCTCGTTACCGACTCCGAACCTGCTCCATGGTATCTAGACAGCGGTGCTTCCGCTCATCTTACTTCAGACCCAGTTCCTCTGCAACAATCAACACCATACACAGGACGTGATCAAGTCTTTGTTGGCAATGGGACATATCTTCCCATTCAGCATGTTGGTAATGGCATCCTTCCTACACCTAATCGTAAGCTTCACTTAAATAAACTCTTTCATGTTCCTCATCTAACCCATCGCCTCATTTCTATCTCCAAATTAACAGCTGATAACAATTGCTCTATTACCTTTGATAAAACTGGTTTGTGTGTCAAGGATATGAAGACCAATCAGTCTCTACTCCACGGACGATCCCATAACGGACTCTACCGCATTCCAATTCAACATCCAATTGTTGATGCTTCTACCACAATCGCTTCTTCTCAATCTGCTCTCGTCTGGCATCGTCGTCTCGGCCACCCTAATGTCAAGACGATCACAGCATCATCTAAAGCTTTTCCATCTTTCTGTATTACGTCTACGAGTTCAATTTGTACTTCATGTGCACTCGCTAAGAGTCACAGACTACCGTTTTCCCCCTCTCACCATGTATCAAACTCACCTTTGGATTTAATACATGTAGATGTTTGGGGTCCTTCCCCTGTTTTCTCTTACACTGGTTTTCGTTATTTCTTGCTGATCATAGATGATCATACAAAATATACCTGGTTATTCTTAATAAAACAAAAATCAGAAGTGCCTTTACACTCGTTAATTTCATTAAAACCATTGAAAAACAATTAAAGACTCATGTTAGAACCATTCGAAGCGATGACAGTACTGAATTTCTCAATTCCACAGTTAAGTCATTCATCAACACTCACGGCATCACCCATCAGATAAGTTGTCCGTATACTCCACAACAAAATGGAGTTTGCGAACGCAAGAATCGTCATTTATTGGAAACTGCTCGAACGCTCCTCTTTGATGCTCAGCTTCCATCTTCATTTTGGTCTGATGCCGTTCTCACTGCTGCCTTCCTTATAAACAGACTACCGTCAATTCACACCTCTGCTAAATCACCTTTTCACCTTCTATATAACAGGCCACCTGACTACTCCATTCTTCGCTCCTTTGGATGCAGGTGTTTTCCCTGGACGAAATACCTTTCTCCAAACAAATTATCTCCTAGATCTGTTCCCTGCATCTTTCTCGGGTATGCTTTACAAAACTAAGGATTCAAATGCTATGATCCCGCCACAGCTAAAATAATCATCTCTCGTCACGTCATTTTTGATGAATCTGTTTTTCCCTCTCTAACCGAACCAACAATCTCAACACCTCCTCTATCTCCTGCTCTTCCCTTCTTTCCACCAGCTAATCTTCAATCACCCCCATCATCCTCTTCTCGCATACCCATCTCATCTCCAACCCCGAATACTTCCTCTATTAGTCCAGATAAGTCCATCCATTCCCCTTCCAATTCTACTTCCTCCACTGGTTCCTCTTCCATACTCAAACCGACTCATCATATGCTTACAAGATTTCAAACAGGCCATTTAAAACCTCGCGTTTTATTAAATCTTTCCCATTCCATTCATTCACCTCCTACATCCTTTACCAATGCCAACAAAGACCCAAATTGGCGTCATACTATGTCAGTTGAATTTCATGCTTTACAGGCTCAAGGAACTTGGACTCTTGTACCACCTCCTCTCGATCAGCAGGTCATTGGTTGCAGATGGATCTACCGCTTAAAGTATCTAGCTGATGGCACCATTGCTCGTCACAAAGCTCGTCTAGTTGCCCAAGGATTCAAACAACAACACGGCATCGATTATTTTGAGACGTTTAGCCCCGTCGTTAAGCATACCACCATACGTCTCTTTCTACTGGTTGCTCTGCATTTCAACTGGGCTGTTCATCAACTTGATGTGATGAATGCATTTCTTCACGGCAAGCTCGATCAACCAATTTATATGACTCAACCATAAGGATTCAAGGATCCCTCATTTCCGGCTCATGTCTGTTTACTGCACAAAGCCATCTATGGTCTCAAACAAGCTCCTCGTCTTTGGTTCGCCACATTATCCTCATACCTCACCAATCAGCATTTCACTCCCAGCTCTGCCGATCCATCCTTTTTTTACTATCACAACGGTCAAACACACATCTACATCTTGATTTACGTAGATGATATCTTAATTACAGGGAGTGATTCTGCCTACATCTCGAGCTTAATTTCAAATCTTCAAACGACATTTCAAACCAGAAATCTTGGCCACCTCTCCAAATTCCTTGGAACGGAATTTACCAGATCATCTACGGACTTTCATTTGTCCCAAAAATCATACATTACTGATTTACTGCACTTAGCTTCCATGTCCACATGTAAACCTCTATCAACACCACTTCCCGCTAAATACCCAAGAGATCCCTATCTCCAAACACCATTTGCTCAACCAGATTTCTTCCGCCAGTTAGTGGGATCCTTACAATTCCTGACCTCTACTCGTCCAGACATTGCTTTTGCAGTTAATAAATTATGCCAACATATGCACAATCCTCTTCTTCTTCACTTCCAACTCCTCAAGCTTGTTCTTCGCTACTTAAAAGGCACTCTCGATTATGGCCTTTTCTTACCGAAAACCAACTTACATCTCTCTGCTTATTCCGACTCCGACTGGGCCGGAGATCAACTTGATCGTAAATCTACCACAGGCTATTGCCTCTTCCTCGGCTCAGCTCTACTGACTTGGTCAGTAAAGAAACATACCACAGTTGCTAGGTCTTCAACCGAAGCAGAGTATCGCTCCATGGCCGCCGCTGCTACCGACATCATCTGGACACGTCGCCTCAATGCAGATTTTTTGATCCCTATACCCCCTACCGAGCTCTTATGTGACAATGTCTCAGCAATGTCGATCGCCTGCAATCCCATTTTCCATGCTAGGACCAAACACATTGAGATTTATCATCATTTTATACGGGATTCAATTCAGGCAAAGCATATCTCGGTTCAACACATTTCCACTCTTGATCAGCCGGCAGACATCTTCACGAAATCCCTATCCTCTAATCGGTTAGCTACTCTGCGAGACAAGCTCATGGTCCTCCCGGCAATAAGCTTGAGGGACAGTGACAGAGCTAATCCATCCACTACCGAGCAGCTGACAAGCTCACCGGCGTCCACATCGAGCTCTCAGCCTCAGATGGCGCCTGCTCCACTATTCCTGTAAAAGCATAAATTTATGTAACTGTCATGGGTATATTCGTAATTAGCCGTTGCAACGGTTGGCTTATTTAAAACCTTGTAATCTCGTCTCTTGACCATTAACGAAGATTACTGTTCATTGTCTTCTTCGCTGAGCCACTCATGTCTTCACTGTGTTGTATTGAGTTTCATAGCCTGTTCAGAAGGCTTTATGAAGACTTTTCTTAGAACCTATTTAATTGTGCCTTTTTTATCTTTTTTGTCTACAAAATATTAATAATGATGCCTTTTTATATTGAAAAAAAGTAAAGATAATCAAAATTACATGTGAAACATCTAAAACATCTTTAAAGAAAGAACTCCTAAATATTGGATATCTTTTGAGGGCTATGCTCTTTAGCTTTTGTGAGGGGAGCTTCTTTCCCCCTTTCAAATGAGTATTGAATGTGTAAGATATATTTTTGTAGAGCATTTATTATACTCCACAATTTAGCACTTACTGGACTGTCGGAATTTCAAAGATTGGTTCTGTCTTTTAATTGCTTTGTTGGTGCTGCTAGGGTGTTTAAGGTTAGAACTTATGATTTGATTTCTTTGATGGCTATGAGGCGGCCGTGTCAAAATCAAGATCGAATCCCATGGGACCCCTACAGGTTTTCCATCACTTGCTTCTTTTGTGGGGCAATTGCACAAATCCTCCGAATTATTGACCTTGCTGGGGTCATCTAGAGTGATCATACTTAGTCCTCTTGGAATATTCAATTTATTCAAAAACTAAATCATAAAATCTATGATTAACATTTTTGGGTGTTATCGCAATGCATTTTCAATCGTCATTTCCATAACGATTTTATTCAAATCTGATTAAGCATATCTTGTGACTGTTAGAATCTAATTATGATTTATCTACCTTTTCAATGTTATTTTGTTGAAGCAACAAAATTTCTAGCTAGCAGCTTATCTGTTTTTTCCTTGATTTTTATCTCATTTGATTTTAAAGCCTTGTGATGTTTCATATTCACTGTACATCATGGGAATCATAATGTGGAGCATGCAGAGTCATATTATCCATAAGTTCTTAACATAACCATTTACCATCGTTGTTCTAGGCAATCGATCATATCATCAATTCTGCTGCAAAGTCGAACTATATGTCAGCAGGTCAAATATCCGTGCCTATTGTCTTCAGAGGCCCAAATGGTGCTGCTGCTGGAGTTGGTGCTCAACATTCTCAGGTATGTTCTTTGAAGTGGCTTTTTTTTCCTTTTTATGGGACTCTACATTTTTCAGTTTAGAAAGTCTTTAGGTGTATTTTCCTCTCATTTTCATGCTCAAGCATGATTCCTCGGAATGATTTTTTTTGTTATTTCTGTATCTGGAGCTTTTTGACCTTAAGTTTTAATGAGAATGGTTTCTTGTACCATGGATTTGTTGCATAGAAAATCTTCAACAAGTAACTAGATTGAAAATAATTACAGACTAGTAATGATAGCAAAACATTCTGCAGTGTTATGCTGCTTGGTATGCATCTTGTCCCGGGCTGAAAGTCCTGAGTCCTTATTCTTCTGAAGATGCTCGAGGCTTGCTTAAAGCTGCTATCAGGGATCCTGATCCTGTTGTCTTCCTGGAGAATGAAATACTGTGTGTACTTTCAAACATGCCTGATTATCTTAACTCCAAGTAGCACATATCAAAGTTGATCCTTTTCATACCTTTGTTGTCTCAGATACGGCGAATCCTTCGCCGTTTCACCTGAAGTTTTAGATTCCAGCTTCTCTATTCCAATAGGAAAGGCCAAGGTATTATCACCTAAATGTGTTCAAATATGCTAGAGGTTCCAATTTACTGTCTTCATTTGTGTGCCCATCTAATTTTCTTTTTGACAGATAGAAAGAGGAGGGAAGGATGTAACCATCACAGCTTTCTCTAAGATGGTTGGCTATTCACTGCAGGCAAGTTGATGAGTTGAATATATTTTTTTTTTCTATTGCAATCTTTACAACTCCTGGTTTTAGTATGGCATGTAATGTTGTTGAGTTTGTTGGTTTTATGAATCGGATTTGATACAATTCAAGCATCTACTTTATGTCATCAGTGTTGAGCCATTATTTGTGTTGGTCTAATAATGAGAAAATTGTTAAAAACTTAAAATAGTCCTCTGACTATTTACAGAAGCTTATTTTAGTCTCATACTATTTAATGTGCTTAATGTAATCCATTGACTTGTCAAATATGATCCAAAGTTCACAATTATAATTGATAGAGATTTCAAGCATAATTCATGACAGAGGTAAGAATTAGGGTATTTTTAGAAAATGAACTTTATTTACATATTTTTAAAATTTTCACAATATCTAAACTTACCCTAAAATAGATTGTAAAATTTCTCTATATACAACCTCCCTATTGATTCTTGATTGTATTTCTTGTCATCAATCTCTTGCTATCATCCCTTTTGTCTTGCCTTATTAGAAATTACTTAGCCTAGCAATCGGGAAGCATCCTTCATTGCTAAAAAAGGGCACAAATCTTACCGTTTCTCACTCCTTTATGAGCCTGAGCACAAAGCCACATCATCCCCTTTCCTTGTTTTGGCTTGAGCTTCCTCTGGCAAGAGGCAGTCTGAAGTCTGCCTCGCTAGATTGCAACTGCAATTGTCCCTACTGCTAGTCACTGTTTTGACTCTCACTCTATTGCTACTCGCTCGATTCCCTGCCTGTTGCATGTCATGCTCTTATGTTTAACTCTCCCCTTCTTGTCTTGATTACTCTTCTCTCAGCCCATCTCATTTTTGAAGCTTGTTTTTTTATTTTTATTTTTTTAATTTTTGAAGCTTGGTTTTTTTTTTTTTTAATTCTTAATTTTTGAAGCTTGGTTAAGTGTGAAATTGATTGAAATTAGGGTTTATTTGTAATGCCAGAAAATTTAGGTAAGAATCAAATTAATTACAATTTTATTTATGTTAAGAAAACAATTATTTTTGTGGTAATAAATATTGGATTAAATCAAATTAAATAATTAATTAATTTCAAGAGATGCTCTCTTTGGTTGAAATCAGTTATTGTGGGCCCTCCTTATCTCTATCTACATCTTCCCAAATCCCTTCTCGAGAGAATTTCACGCATACCAAAAGTCTTCTCACGGAACGATAAAGGTAAGTAAAAAGTATGTATAAAAGCTACAATTTTCTAAAATACTTCATAAGCTTTGCATGAGGAGCAGGAGGAGAAGAAGAAGGGGAAGAGGCTCATACTGAGGAAAGGCTGGCCAGGATGGGTCTTCGTGTGAGAGGAAGAGTAAGCAAGCCATGCGAATGTGAGAGTGACCTAGAGCAGAGAGAGTTTTTTGTGCGACGGAGAACAAAAAAAAAGGTGATCGAGGTTGGTTGCTTGCATCCAAACTTCAATTGGGCGAGGATTTCTACATCCATACCTCTCACACGCGACCAAATGGAGAACATGCAATAGCCGACCGCCCCTTGCCCTCTCACGCTCGGCTAGACGGAACACATACAAGAATCGAAGGGTCAGAAGAATAGAGGAAGAGACACATACGAATGTCGCCTCTTGCCCTAGGCTCAGTCGAATGGGGAAGACACAGGCACGCATGCAACCAACCCTCTCTCTCATGTGTGCAGCTCATCCGAATGGGGGGGAAACGCACAAACCGGTCCCCTTTATGCCCTAGATGCACGAATAGCTCAATTACCAATATGCCCTTAAATTTAGACATCAAAATTTTTTATGTCTAATTCTTGAGTGAAGTATTTAATGATCCTCCCAATGGAGAAAAATTGATTACGTATTACCAATGATCCTAAAGTCATTAAAAGATTTAAATACTAAAAGATTAATTAATTTAAATATTTAAGATTGGATTACACTTAAATTTAAAATAAATTTAATTAATTAATTTATTCTCATTCTTGCGAATTTAAATTTAATTAGTTTGAAGCAAGTTAATTAGTGTCAACAAAGCTTTTAATCTATAATTATGTTTGAATCGAGTCGAACTAGCTTGACACAGCTTGATTTTAAATTCGATTAATTTTTTGTTAATTTGACGTAGAACTAATAAACTTTGTTTCAATGTAAGTCTATTTAATTATAATTAAATCGTTGTACCGAAGATTGAGTCGATATTGTACCATCGGGTATTTACTTGGAGGGAATTCTAGGGATGACTTGATGGGGACATCAGCTCGTGGAAGGTTTATCAGAGGCGTGGCTGTCGATCTACGGCCACGATCGAGTCTTTGTATTTCTGAGTCATTTATGTATTTTATTATTCATGTATTTTCTATTTTGCTTAGTGTCATGTTGATTTTTCCGTTTGTACCCCTTTAGTGGGAATTGTCGTGTATGAGCCCAAAGGGCAAGTTGGTTTTTTATTTTCTTGAGTTTTTGTACTTGGCTATTTATAGCCTCATGTTCTTGGTTTTGAGCTAATGAATGATGATAAAAAAATTTTCCTACGCTTGTGTTTGAGAGTGCTTGAGAGCTCTTGAGGAGAACTTGGAGAGATCCCAGGAGAGGGAGTTCGTATCACCCACTAACCTTGGAGACGGCCGGGTTTGTGGTTTTCTATTCGTAATTTCGTTTTCCCCTGCCTCCTTTTATTCATCTTCGTCACATCCAACCTCACCACTGAATTCCCCAACGTCTTCCCCCTCACTCTTCCTTTATTCATTGTTTTAAATTGCTAGTAGTTTTGTTCTAAAATTATTCTAATCACAAGTTGTGCGAAATCCACAATGAACTAATAGCATTTCATCTACGTAGTCCTACATCATGACTTCTACACTAAGGCAAGAAATCCTGGATTCTAGAAGAACCATCGTGGAAGATCGACCTCACCAAAAGTGAGGTCAACAATAGTCTAGGGATCTTTATTTTTTTTTTTTAAATAATGTTTAGTTAACCGATATGTGTATTTTGTCTTTTTTATTCTTTTGAGACCTAGCTTGTGTTAGTGTGCATATTATGTGTTTTGTCTTTATTTTCCTTGTTTTTTTAATGTGCATGTCTTTTATTCATACCTCCCAACAAATCATAGGATTGTTCAAATCTATTTTTTATTTCCTCATTAGCAAAATTTATATTGATTTATATCTACTGCAACTTGAGGGGAGTGTGGACAATAAGGAAATAATAACAAGGGATCCCAGGGGACTCCAGTTGGATTATAAGGAAAATGAATGTATTCTTTGCATGAGGACCACTTCTATAGAAGGAAATGAATAGGATGGCTATCTCAATTAATTGGAAAATATTTTTTATGTGAATTTCAAATTTGTATCTTATTTTATATGACAAATTCTCATAAAAATTATATTTGTAAAGATACCAAATATCCTATAAATATTGTATTGATGTTAGTGATGAATAATAAGTCCACAAAAATATTTCTCTCCGAACTTACAGTGATGATGAGCTATCACTTAATGAAATAATTTTTGTTTTTTTTTTAAGTCACAAGATGGAGAAGAGTGCTTGGTTTTTAGAACCATGACAAAATAGGATCCAAGGGACTCCTGTTGGATTAGGAGGAAAATGAGTTCATCACTGCTTCTCTCGAAGGAAATGAATAAATTGCTATCATAATTAATTATAAGATGGTTTGTGTTTGAATTTCAAATTTGTATCTTATTTTCTATTACATGTTTTCATAGAAATTAAATGTATAAGAATACCAAGTATCTTATAAATACCTTTGTTACTTTTTGAAAGTCATTAGATGGAGAGGATTGCTTAGTTTGTAGACGTTATAGTTAAGCGTGGAATTAGGGTCTGTTTAACAGCAAACCCAGTTAATGTTGTTTAAAACAACTTCAGTAAAGAGAAACAGATGAGAGGAGTGCTTTTACATATTATAGATGATTTCAAGCTGCCCTTTTTTACAAAGTTCTATTGTTTCAAATTCTCTTTTTATTGAATTTATTTTGTTTCCTATCTTCTGTTCTTCTCTTCTGGTGAATCCATGGGTCTCTATGTCTGATTTGGCATTTAATTATATTTATGTATGTAATCAGGCTGCGGAGATACTAGCAAAGGATGGAATTAGTGCTGAGGTAAGCATTATTCATTAGGATAATTGCAATGATTTGTACCTCATTTGTTGCTTTACAAATTTAATTTAACTCTAAGAGATGAAGGTTATAAACCTTCGTTCAATTAGGCCACTAGATAGAGCCACCATAAATGCTTCAGTTAGGAAAACAAACCGACTTGTGACAGTGGAAGAAGGGTTCCCACAGCATGGTGTTGGTGCTGAAATCTGGTTAGTTTCTTCTGGGATAATACTACATACATAATCTGATATGAATAATACTACATTATCTGATATGAATGTTTGCAGTGCTTCAGTGGTTGAGGAGAGCTTTGAATATCTTGATGCACCAGTTGAGAGGATTGCTGGGGCTGATGTTCCAATGCCTTATGCGCCAAACCTTGAAAGGTTGGCTGTGCCACAGGTAAGCTTGCTTTGCATGAGTTTCTTACTTGATATGAAAGAATGGAGAATTTGGATTCAGGAGATATAATGATGCTTTCTGATAGGCCGGTTCCTCATGAACCGGCCCAACCGCCCGTCCAGGGCTAGTTCAAGTATACAGGAGGCGGGCTAGTCCCGCCTCCCCTAATGATGTCGCCCACTATAGTGGGTCCCATTACTCCAATTAAGTTCAAATTTGAAAATGAGGGGGCGGCTAGAGCTTGGGAGGGAAATTTGATTAGGAAAGTTTATGTATTAAGTTGCATGATATGTTTAGGGTTAGGGATGCTTGATTTGTTTTCTATTGGGGTTCTTTGGCGACTTGGGCTCTAAACAATCTTGTCTAGAGATTTGGGAGACACTATCCTCCTCTCGAATTGAGGATCTCTTGTATCTTATTTTCATGCTTGTTTGGCTTTGATTTTCTTACCGCAATCTATCGTTTTGGGGCTGATTTCATCCAGATTTTGCATTATTCTCGTTGTTTTTCACCAATTGGTGATAGGTTTGCTTGTGAACTCAAATATTACCCGTAGGGTTACTTGCGAACTCAAATAATTCCTGTCACTTATGTATCTAAATGTCTCTTTTGAACTTACAATTTCTAACTTTAGTGTTACATTTTTGAAACCAGACTCTAAAATACCTAAAAGAAAATGATTGTTGTGATCTGCAATAAAAAATCTCCAGAAACTTCTCTTCCTGAATTGATGATACACCACATCAATAAATCATTCTCAAAGTTTATCTGTTCTTATATGTCTAAAACCTTTGCAAGTAAGAGCACTGTATCTAACTTCAAATATTTTCAGGTTGAGGATATTGTTCGAGCTGCAAAGAGGGCTTGCTATCGCTTGGTGCCAAAATCTGCAGCAGCTTAGCTGCATCTTAAGCTTCATTTTGGACAGCATTTTTGTTACTTTATAAAACCGTTTTTTAGCACAAAAAATTTTAATTCAAAAAATTTTTGTACTAGAAAGCCGTTTTAAAAAGCATCAAAGAAGCCGTCTCACTAAGCCTTAATCTGTATGCCTTCGGAGTTGGATCAAAATCCTGAATGTTACAGACTGATGCAATAAACTTCTTCCGGTCCTTAGATATCATAAATATGAGCTTTATATTTTTTTCAACTAGTGCTATTTATTGGTGCTGTAGCTCTTTTTTTCATCTACTCGGAAATATTTTGGACTTGCTGTGCTATCCCTGGAATCAAAAGAAATTGATCAGCTATTTTTTCATCTGATTACATGGTTATGATTGTACTCCAGCAAATGTTCTTTAGGAAAATGCACATAATACAACAACAACATCAAATCTTTGTCCTACTAAGTCGGGTCGGTCAGCTGCATGAATCTTTTTTCTCCATTGTGTCATGTTAAATGACAAATTCTCATTTAAATCTAATAAATAATTTTTTTTTAGTGTCTTAAGGAAAGATCATTTCTAATATTTTATAATCAAGTTTTTTTAGATCTACCTCTATCTTTCTTAACATAAGTTAAATATAATACCTCTGCTTTACTAACCTGGTCATTGGAAGGCTGTTGTTTTATGTGACCAAACCATCTAAGGCGACCCTCTCTATTCTTATCTTTCATTGGAGCTACTCCAACCTTTTTCATGTATATGATTATTTTATATCCTATCTCGAAGAGTAAAGCCACTCATCCATGTGAACATCCTCATCTATGCAACACCTTTTTCAATTAGGAAATTTACATACAAACCATTTTATACATCCTATTTACAAATATAACATTCAAAATTTTAATATTACATGCATATCATAATATATTATTTTAATATTAAATATACCACTCATATTTTCTTCCTACAACTCATATATTTCATTTCTATCACTCATATTTAATATGAAAATGAACTATGAATGGTATGTATGTAGTATTAAAGTTTTATGTGTTAAGTATGTAAATATAATAGTATAATGTGGTATGTATGTAAATCTCCTTTTTCAATTTCCCCCCTGCACCTAGTTACTTTTGTAGTTCTATTTTGAAGTTGCTGCCTCCCACTCAATGGCTTTAGTGAGTTTGCTATACATGGTGAGGTTCTTACTTCTTAGGATGCTACAAAGGGTCTAGATTTAGGCATTGTTTGGGGCAGTTTTTTGCCACTGTTTTTTTATTGCTTTCAAGAAATTTTGTATTCGAATATTATTATAATAAATAGTTAAAAAATTATCCCAAACGAAGTCATAGTTAGGTTCCTATGTGCTATTAATGATTTTATTCTTAACGAGAACAACCATTAGGTGGGGATGAGTTATATGAATCTTTTTTTATTGCATCCTATTATGGAACAATTATTACGTCCTCCGACAGGATGCAGAGGAACGTCCGGTCGGAGGTAAATTCCCGCCAAATACCGAGTTGTACCGAGTAAACACCGAGCAATATCAAATAATAACGAGGAATAACATCATGTGAAGACCCAATACTGAGTTATTTCGAGCTATCTTGAGCAATACCGAGTTATACAAAAGTTGTACCGAGTTTTTCCTAGAAAAAACTCGGTATTTCTCGATATAGCTCGGTATAACTCGGTATTGGTCTTCAAAAAGCGGTACTCATCATTATTATCAAATAATACCTAGTTGTACCGAGAAAATACAGAGTTTTTTGGCGAAAATTTGGCTCCGACCGGACGTTCCTCTACGTCCTTGCACCGAATGTAATAAAAGTTCCCTATTATGAGTCTATTTGAGAGCTTTATCTATGCTTTATTTTTCAGATGACAACCATAATTTTATTTGACTATTTCTTTCTTGATATTTTTCATCGCTTATCAGAAATTTTAGTAGTGAAAATTTAATTTTTACAACCAAAATAATTAAGTTGTTAAATCCACAATAATTTTACAACCAGTTTTATAAAAAAAATTATAATTCTCACAAGTAAATCTTAAGAGTCAAATTCTCATTTAAATTTAATAAAAAAATATTTTATTCTTTATAATCATTTTTTTATCTTAGTATTTTTAAATTAGTTTTTTTGGTAAAAAAATTTTAGTTTAGTATTAGAAAATAGTAAGAGAGCTGTAAATTATTTTGATGAAGTATAATAAAAATTAATAAACATAATCAAAACTAAATTTATTATTTTAAAATGATTATAAAGAAACTTGTCTTGAAGATATTCCAATGTGGATGTGGTTAAATGTCAATGGATAGTTACAGCCGTAATTTGAATGCTTTTTTGTTGGATAACGAGTTGTTCAGACTTGAGACGTCAGAGTACCTGTAACTGGTCGCCTTGCAATACAAATTCTGCGGGCAAAATTTTTGACATGACGTCCTAGTTCATTATTTTATTATAATAATTAATATTAATTATTTATTTTATTTTTAAATAAATTAAATTCTTTTTTTTAATAATATTATAAATGCAATTAATATTTATACCATTTTAAAATTATTTTATAATCCTATGAGCATCCTATTCTTTTTGTTTAAGTGCCTTAACTATGCCGGAATTCAACCATCTTTTTGCTCGTTGGATTCATCTCGTCAAGTTGCTCAATTTGACTGTAAACTTGCTGTGTTTGAATATCATTTTTTCATCCATTTAATGCTTTGAACCTTTCAAATGTGATTTAGGCTCCTGATTTAGGGAAAATTATTACATCCGGACAAAAAATTGAAAATCTGGACGTATACCAAGCAATACTGAGTGCTCGCTATAGAGTTCCGGGTGACGTGGCGCGTGATTATTGGTCTTTGGATGCGTTCGGTGTCCGGGCGTAATAATTACTCCCGATTTAGACCTATTTATTTATATAATATTCTGTCATTATGATATTAAAATATTTTATAAATAAATAGAAAATTGAGGTGTAAATATATAAATGTATTTAAAAAATATGTGATTTGAATGTAAATAAAAAAATAAATTATATATATAATATTTATAAAATAAAAATTTAAATGGTGGGGTAAGGGAGAGATTTGACTTTGGTGGACTGCTGATATTCTCACCCTCCAATATTCAAAATTCTACTATTTCATCGCTTCGTTTCTTAATCTATCTTTGCGTATGGCTTAACGACATTCTTTTCTTGCTCCGTGAGATTATCTTCTTTGACCAAATTGCGGTCCGCGGAAAACTCATTGGAGAATTTTGAAACCGAGCAGCACTGAGAGAAGAGAGAGAGAGAGAGGGGAGGGAGGGAGAGAGAGGAGCGAGAAGTAGCCTTCTTCTCTCTCTCTCCTCTTCTTGAAGGAATTGATCCTTTGTCTGGTCAATAATAGGTTCTCCTTCGTATGCTTTATCTCTCTTCTTCCTTTCTTGCTCGCGATTGGGGGATTGGCGAATGAGAACATCGCTGAGGAAGCTGAGGGGGATGGGGCTCCAACGGAGCGAGCTGAGGGAGAGGAAAGAGCATCAGCCACGGGCGAAGCTGGATGAGCTTGTACAAGCCGTACAGGTTCTTGCAGCTTTTTGATCGTTTTTTTGTTGTTGTTAGGGTTTGCTAGTAATGGAGTTGGATGAGGAAGAGTTTTACTTCTTCTTCTTCTTTGTTAGATTTTTTTTTCTGCTTTGCTTTTGCTAATTGAAAAATTGTGCTAGCTTATTAGTGTTTTGGACTTTTGTAAAGTATGAGAGTAGGTTAAGTAGGTTGATTAATTTAATTATAGCAATCAGATTAGCATCAAGGCTCGTCTCTATCAGGAATTAGGCATGTTAAGACTATCCTACCAGTAATCGAACTTCACAGCTAGGTATTTTCAGTTATTTTATAGGTGGTGGTTTGGAGATTTCCCCCAACTGCTGCCCTAATTTTTTTTTTCCTTATGAAATGGGTTATTGCCATCAGGTGATATATTTAGGTCAGCAAGGGTGTAAAACTCCACTATCGTTATCTTTGTGAAATATACAGTGGCAATAATATTTTGTACCCATCAATTGGCTTAGATTTTATAAAATTCTTGGTGCGTTCATTACTTTTATGTTTAATTTGCTCTCGATGATTTGAACGAAGGCTCTTCTCTATCAGAAGTTAGGTAAGGTTTTGAATTGTTACATTTTGGGCGTAAAGCTCACCTTTAGAATTATTGGCTTTGTCGCAGATGGGATAATTTGGAGTACCTTTTTGAGTTTATATTATATTTTACAGCTATTTACATAACATCTAAGTAAATTAAGGAGGCGAATCTTTGTTTGACAAAAGAATGATGATTTTTCTGTTTGTATAGATGACAGAATAGGCTTTCGATTGATCAAATTTCAGGCTTTTACTTTTTTTTTTTAAACTTAATTCTTCACTGGGTTATGGTAAGTGTATGCGGGCTTTGCTAGCTTGTAAATTTTGTGATTGGATATGCTTATCACGATAATTAGTTTGATGAATAGATCTTAGATAGTTGAAGTTTTATTGGAGATTATTATGTTTGTCATGATCAGGAGATGTTTGAGATTTTGGAGCCCTACCCCGTTGTCTCCACAATGGCTTTGATTTGAGATTTCAAGTCTATGGACCCAAAGAACATGTTCGAGTTGTTTTCCAAGCCTCTAGGAATGAAAATAAGTATATGGGCATGGAGGAGTTCATTGTGGGCTCCAAACCAAACCAAATGTGATAAAAAATACTAATTTTATCTTCCCATCTTATTTTGCATTTTCTATTTTTTATTTACATGTTCAAACCACTTAAATTTATTTTAAGCTATCCTATCTTTAATAAATGCTACTATTGTCCCGCTATATTATTCACCAATCTATTCTTAAAATTAGCTAACATTGACTTCTTTTCTGCCTAGAACTTAAACTCATATAACACGGAACATAATTCATATAATAGTTATCCAAAAAAATATTCAGTGATGCTTATCAAAAGCAAGGGAAATAAGCCTTTTGTTTCTTGTTTTACGAAGAATTCACTTATGACTGTCTAAACTTAACTCCGTTTTCTTTTATAGGACATGAAAGACATGAAGAGTTGTTATGATGGTTTACTATCAACAGCTGCTGCCACTGCAAATAGTGCATATGGTAAACTCATTATGGGTTACAACTTACAACATAGGCCCCCTTAATTTTTAAGATTTTATTTTATTTTTCTATTTGAATAATCTTTTTTCACACAATCTTACCACAGAATTTTCTGAAGCCCTACGTGAGATGGGCACATGCCTGCTTGAAAAGAATGCATTGCAGGATGATGAAGATAGTGGTAAGTGCCTTAGATTAATTTTTCTCCATTCACCTTGTAGAATATTAAATATTTTAATTACTTTTTTATGTTTTGCTGAAATTAGCAATTTCGTGTATCAAAATAAATCTGTGACATATTGAAATCTGATCGAGCATATATTAATTTCTTATCATTATTGAGATTTGATGTTTTTTAACTTTTTTTTCTTGCTTGTCAACCTCATGTTTAATATACTGGTTTTGGCACGTGCAATATATGCCATGAACTTGTTGGCAACTATGAATTATTAGGCACTATAAAAGCACATGAATGCTATGGTTAAAGACCTAGAAGTTAGTGATTTTTGTATGGTATTTCTTTGTTAAATTATTCATAAGATGGTTGAAATGCCTTAACCTTTTTTTATCAACAACAATAACAAAGAATTTATGTCATAATTATTCGACAAGTTTTGTGCTAGTTTTTGAACACCTACTATAACTCTCCAGTTTTCTCATCCTGGTCTTGAGACCTAGCAATGAAAGTTTTACTTTTTTTATCTAAATCTATATTTTTTTAATCCTCGCAGGTCGGGTTTTATTGATGCTTGGGAAAGTGCAATTTGAACTTCAGAAGCTTGTTGATAATTATGTAAACTCCATTTATTCTCTTCAGTTATTAGATTTCTCATGTCTTGTAAGCATTTTTTTGCAATAAAACGGAGAAAACTATTGTACATTGGCCAATGCTTCCTATTATATATGTGCAGCGTACTCATATTATCCAGACTATAACAAAACCATCAGAGTGTCTTCTTGGGGAACTTCAAATTGTAGAGGTTCGCTTCTTAGTCTACTGCATGTTATTTCAGATATGTTCTGCTGTACTGGTGTATACATTTTATCTGTTGAAGAAGTCCTTATGTATTGTAAATTTAATTTCCATTTACCTTTTTCATGCAGGGGATGAAACAACAATGTGATGATAAGCGGTATACATTATTAACTGTACTTTTGCTTAATCTTCTTTCATTATTTTGCATTTGTTCTCAACTTTGGCGCATTTGTACAGAGATTACTATAAATTGATGTTAACTGCGCCTAGAGTAAAAGGAAGATCAAGAAATTCTAAAGGAGAGGCAGTTACTCTACAGCAGCTGCAAGCAGCTCGTGAAGATTATGAGGAGGATGCAGACCTTTTTATCTTCCGCTTAAAATCATTGAAGCAGGGTCAATCACGAAGTCTTCTCACTCAGGCTGCTCGTCACCATTGTGCACAGGTGCTTTTTGCCAGTTTCAGATGTCCAGATTCTATTTTCTTCCAGCAAAGCATATTCTAATGGAAATTTTTTTATACATTTTCTTCTTGGAATTCAGTTGAACTTCTTTAGGAAAGGATTCAAGTCATTGGAGCTGATTGAACCACATGTAAAAGCTGTCACAGAACAGCAGCATATTGATTATAATTTCCGAGGACTCGAAGATGATTGCACAGATTTTGATGATGACGGTGGTTCTTTTTGTTCAGATAGCAGCGAAGATGTAGAATTAAGTTTTGATTATGGATTGAATGAACAAGCTTACAATGCTCTTGCCGCAAGTTCAATGGAGGTGAAGAACATATTCTAGTTTTAAGCCACTGCTTAATTTTTTTAATTATGTCTCTGTTCATTAAGACAATTTTTTTAGTTTTTCTCTCTATTCTAAGTATAAAGATTGTATTAGTTAATGCTTTCATTTCTGTGGAGATACTAGGCATAAAATTTTAAATTTGTTTTTGCTTGCAGCTAGATCAAGTTGAAAGTACGCCAACAAAGGAATCATCTTTGGAACTTGTGCAGGTAAGATTTCAAGTTCTAAGCAATGTTTTTAACATAATTTAATTCTTTTTTTTTTTTACTTTGAATCAGCTTTCTTCTAGAAGACCTATACCATTCTAGATTGTACACACGTAAATTGTCTAACGTTTACTCTCATTGAATTTAATTATAACCCAGGGTTTGTTGGCCATGCTGCTTTAAATAGTTGCGGGAACATTTTCATTGAACTTATTATATCATCAATAATCCAAATCAATCTTGAAAGTCTATGCAGAAAGCCTTATATATAAAAAAAGAATGACAAACTTAATTAATGATAAAATTATATTATTCTTAATATATTCAAACTAATAAAAATGGTTAAGGTATAATTCACTCTTAGACGATGAAGTACTTAGAGGGACATGGAACCCGATCTGTTTCTTTGCTCATTTGTTGTCTAGTTTGATTCCTTAGGATTGACCTATGAGAAATTGAGCATGCCTGAATTGAATTGGTTGAATTATTAGGCCATATTGATGATGCTGTATCATTGCCTCTTTTTGCAACCTAATGGTAAGATTAACAATTTATCACTTGTCAAATTGTACCATCACGGTCAATTTTTTCTTTTAATTATTTTCTTTAAGTTCTCAAGATATTCGTTTGTTACCACTACTTTATGTTGTGTATACAAACTCTCACCTTAAATTACTTTAGGGGCTGTTTGGTTGCCTAATAAAAAAATTCAGCATAAAAGGAATGCAGTCTAAGAGGAATACTTTGGAGTTGTTTGGATGAATGTAAAGTAAATACATGATTTCACTTTTTTTGTTTGTTATGAAGTAAAATGAATGCAATGTAAACCAAAAGAAGGTTCTGGCCTGGGCGGTCAGCAGTCGGCGGGAGTGGTCGATGGTGGTATCGTAGGCGGTATTAGCGGGGGCGGTCGTTCGCGGTGGGAGGCTGTCGAGGGTGGTAGTGATTGTCAGCGTGCGGTGGAGGGAGGTGGCTAGGAGCGGTGGTCAATGGTGGTGACCATCGGCTAGTTGCTATGGGCAGTCGATGTTGGTTGGCAGCCGACGGTGGGAGGTGGTTGGGGTTTTTCGTTGGTAGTGGCGGTGGCCGATGGTGGTAGACGGTGGTCGGCAATGGTGGCAATGGCGGTGCATTTACAGTGTTTGGAAATCGTCCAAATCGGAGGAATTCCAAATACACTCAAAATATACTACTTGGGGGTATTTGGAATGCAATTCTTTTACACTCTACATTTTACTTTAAGCCAAACACCAAAATTTCTAAAACTCCTGTATGTGGATTACTTTACACCTTAAATGCAGGCAACCAAATAGCCCCTTGGTAATTATTAATTTAAGTGTTGACAAATCTAAGGCTTTCAATATTGAACCAAAACATGAAATACAAAAAAACAAAAAAAAAAAAAGCAATTCTATCCCCTCTCAAACTCCAGTCCCAAGTAACTTCCTGAGCTTCCGAATATCTTGTATTGCCGTGCAATATCTTAGAAGGATATTTGATTATTTCTTTGCTGATTATAACACTTTCCTCTAATGAACACTCAAATTATCTTTTCTTCCTTTTGAACACAAGACTTGGAATATCATCATCATCATTATTACCCTTATACTTTTTACTTAGAAATTATTTTAGATAAATTCAAATTAGATTTTTGAAAAATGATTTTTTCATTCCCTTACTATCCACGTTTATTCATCCATAGCAGGAAAATATATCAAAAAAACAGGCTGAACTGCTGTTTCGCAATGAAAATCCAACCCATAGCAGCCAGTCGGCCCCAATTTTTTCAGATATCAAGTTTGATTTTTCTGACAAAACAAAAGACAGACTGCCTCAGTCCACAAGAAAGTATCACACCTATGCCCTTCCTACACCGCTGGATGTGAAGAACTCTGCATCTGTCACTACAAATGTTTCATTTTCTTCTGCCCTTCCTAAAACCAAAGCTGGTTTGGAAATCGAGCAGAAACAGACCTCTCCATTGGAACCTCATAAACCACCATATTTCAAGGACAAGAACTCTCCAAGCCCCATCAGATCGCCAAAAACACCTTCACTGTCTCCTAAACAGATGAAATGGCAAGCCTTCTCCGGTCCGATAATGGTAAAATCTGGATCAATCAAGGCATTTTCTGCTCCTTATGGTTTCCCAAAAACAGAGGATTCTGCATCTCATTCCCAGGTTCTTACCGCTTTATCATCTCCAAAGATTAGTGCACTTCATGAGCTTCCTAGACCTCCAATCTCTTCGCTGCCACAATCTGGAATACAGAACAGTTTTGTTGGTCATTCAGCTCCATTAATCTCCAGAGGTCAGGAGATTCAAACAGGAAGAATATTTCCAGTTTCTTCGCCGACGGCGATGCCGCTGCCAGCTCCACCGACTTCGGTTCCGAGGAGCTTTTCGATACCTTATAGTGGTCAAAGGACGCCGTTAGGAACTGTAGTTAATAAGCAATTAGATCTTGTTAGACGTGATCATCTTAACTTGACCGAAGAGATTGATTCACCTCCTTTAACTCCCCTGTCGCTTAAAAGATTTGCCGCATCATCTTCTTCACCAAAAGGACTGATGTGACTGATGTAGTCTTTTCAAAAATTTAATATAGATTGGTTGATTGAGTGTATTGTTTTGGGGTTACCTTGATCAATTTATACCCTTATTTATAATATAAGGGCGGCTTCTTCCATTAATATGGCCATTCTAAAACTAGAAAATTTATTACTAGCAGTGCAGTGTCGGGACGAGTCTGAAGGTCAATTTGGATGTGTCACGTGATCCAATGCACAATGTATTGGGTGATGAGACGCATTCGGATTAGTCTTTCGGACGCGTTTGAACACTGAATAGAATAATCTCTCCTAAAAAACTAGTAACTTTTTTTCTTAAAAAATAACAACCTGGATCATTATTAGCGAGCTTATACAAAGGCGGAGCTAGGAATTTTTTTTGGTGGCGGTGTAAATTAACTTTTTAAAAAAATTTCTTAGGCTTGAGATTTGCTTTGGATGTTTTTTTTTTTGTTTTTTTTTTAATTTGTTATTCTAAAAATATTAAATATAAGATGATAAAAAATGTAATTTATAACTATTATCCTTCATATTTTAAATTAGTTAAATAATTATTTTATTATAAATACAATCAAATATTATAAAATTATATATCAAGTGCATAATATATTGATTTACAAACCTAAATTGCTAAATATGTATGTGATTATTCTTTATTTACTATAAAAATAATCCTCATAAAATATTTTTATGGAGGATAAGCTGCAATCTATCTATAGTTTTATTAAATTTGGCTTTCATTTGAGACGATTTATTTAATGCTTTTTAATACAAAATTATTTGAGTAAGAAGTTTTTATATTAGATAGTTGTTTTAAAACTGAAAATGCACTAATAACAACCAACTAAACTAGGCCATTGATTTTATTTTGGGCAATTTTCTTAATGATTCTTAAATAATTTTTTAGTAAAAAATTAAAATTTCTGTGCTAAAAAGCTCTTTTACAAATCATTAAAAAGTCGTCTCAAATGAAGTCTTAATCATAGGGCAGAACATAATCTTGATAATTATTTATGTTAGTAAATTACAATATCATACACATATAATATATTTATTTATGAATTATTTAAAATATATATCATTTCAAATATTATTTTAAACATTAGAGGTATAGCATATGTATTTTATATTTAATATTCATGTAATTATGAAAAATATTTTTATATATTATATTTCGATTTAAAAATTAAATTTTATTCAAGAAAATTTTTTTGTATATTTTTATTTCTATCAAATAGACAGCCTTTTATTTTTCAATTATAAAATAAAATTTGAATAATAGATTGTGTCTTAGTATACGTTTAATGTTCGTCAATTAGCCACAAAGAGATAAGCCGACATAAAAAAAAAAGATTATGAACAAAGTGAAGTCACCGAAAGTCAATTAGCCATTTAGTGTGAAAGAGAGGAATAGTCAAAAGGCAATTCTAATTTTGTGCATATTTTTAAAATTAATCATAAGTTCTGATGTCATTAAAACTAATTTTGAAAATTCTATGAAATAAAAACAATTTTTTTTAAAATTTTTTCAGAAAGATCAAACAATAATTTTAAAGTTTATAACAATTTATTAATATTACAGTTGTTAATTAACTAATTATGATTTTATTTGGAATAGCTTTTTGGGTGCTTCTTTAAACGACTTTTTAGTTAAAAATTATTTTTTTTTAAAACTAAAAATCTACTTTAAGAAATAATAATAAAACCATACTAAGCAAAACCTATATCATTAGAAAATCTGATTGATCATGCATAGATCGGAGTTCAATTTTTGAATTGGAAAATTTTAAAATTAAATTTAGGATAATTGGAACGCTGCTTTAAGTAAACGTCTCGATAAAATGATCCTAACTATTCTAAAAGTGTTTCAAATCTGACTCCGAATCAGCCCAAATCAATCACTTGAATCACATTTACAAATTTTAATATATTAATTTAAGAAACAAACAATCTCTAAATTTCATGCCCTTATAGTCAAAATGTGTGTTTAGATGGGATAAATTCAATGAGCTCAACATAATTAAATTTTAAGATCAATAAGACATTGATAAGCTACAAAAATGAATTATGATCAATGAATCAATTTAGACCATCCCATGGTGTTTTGGGGATTTTGGTTAAATTTATTCAAATCTATCAAAAGAAAATATTAGCAGACCTCTATTCTCCACATGAGGCGGAGATTCGATTTTGACTTAAAATTGAAGGGAGCTGGTGAGTCTGAAGAACTTTAAAGCTTCGGTCAACTTTCGACTCTAATGATCTTTGAAATTAATGGTCATTGTTAGGGGTGTCAATTCGGGTCGACGGGTCGGGTTTGGGTCGAACCCGGGTTGACCCGGATCTAAACGGCTCAACCCGGACTCGACCCGCACGGGTTGCCAGGTTGACACGACCCGACCCGGATTTAGTGTGATCGCGAGCGAGGGCGGGTCCAGCGGGATTGCGAGCGAGGGCAGAGCGGGTTCGCGTCATCGCGAGCGATGGAGGAGTGGGTCTAGCGGGATCACGAGCGAGGGCGGAGCGGGTTCGCGTCTTCGCGAGCGAGGGAGGGCGGGACTGCGAGCGAGGGCGGAGCGCGAGCGAGTGCGGGCGGGATCGCGAACGAGTGCGGGCAACTGGGCGAGTAGGGCCGGAAATCGGGTTAAACGGGTCGACTCGCGGGTTGTCGGGTCAACCCGGACCCGACTCGTTTTTCAAATGGGTCAGTAATTTGAACCCGAACCCGACCCGTTTAACAAACGGGTTGATCTGAACCTGAATTTTTCGAGTCGGATCAGAAATTGACACCCTCAATTATCGTAGTTGCTCTGTTGTTGTTAGATCACATATAACTATGTTTGTTTAACCTTCATCACCTAATCATTGTCAATGATTGCCATTCCTTGATCGTCGTTGTCCGGTCGTCATTACCAGTTCCATGTCACATAATCATCATGTCATTTGAGTGTCATCATCCTCTACTATCTCTCTAATAATATGTACTATAAGCAAAGGAGATTATGTTAGCATTTGTATCTTTGTAACCCTATTTTCTCCAAATTAAGGGGATAGTGCAAACTTATGAAATTTTGCTTGCATAATAAAACATTAAAACATTTTAATTGGGTTAGATCATATTATTTTTTTCTTCTCGGTATTTTTTACGTATAAATTATGTCGACTTCTGCGAATTTTTTCTTTTATATGTATGTGTTGGACTTTTGTATAAAATAAATATTTAAATGTATTGAATTTTTGTATAAAATCAAGAAATTAAAATCAAACTCTAATGTAGTGATTATTCTAGCATATAATAATGATTAATCAATCAATTTTTATATTGTTCTCATCTCAAAATAAATTGTTGAAGAAAAAACTTATCCTAATTGAATTTAATTTTTATATATCATAATACATATAATTTGTCAAATATTTCTCTGGTTTATTTTTTTGAAGAAATGTACTTAGAAAATGGTCAATAATGGATAACACTTGTATACACTAAGTTTATTTTATTAAAAAAATTCAATATATTTCTTGAAGAAATTAAATATAAAAATGATCAATTGCGTATTATTATTAGTGGAATATAAAGTCAAAATTTCCTTTATTTTTTAAATAAAAATATATCACACTTTATCTTATTTTTTATTTGACAAATTAATTAGTAAATAAATGTCAAATTACCTTACTGAATACATCTAGCGTTACAAGTTGAGACCGCTTATATTTCTTAGGTGGTTAAGTGACAGCTTTTCTTTTTTATTTTTTTTTAAAGTAAATTTTTAATATAAAATTTTATTTTTTATAAGTTTATACTTTATATTGATAAAATGAAGCCTACGATTATTAATTCATCTTAATATAATTTTTATAAAAATATTTTAAAAAATTATTATGTTTTAAATACTTAAAAAATATTCGATCTATATTCTCCTCGCTCTTTACATTTGTTGACAACTTAAAATCAAAGGGAGAGATAAGAGCCAAGAGATTTGAGGCTTATTCGATTGAATCTAGGGTTTAAGAGACCGGCGCCGGGGATTTTGAATTGCGAGATGGAAAGAGATAGCTGAGAAAGAGGGGCAGTTGCCTTGCGGGTAGCTGTAGTGGGAGCGGGGATTTATGGTCTCTCGGAGGCTCTCGAGCTCTGTAAATGCCGGCGCGGAGGTGGTGATTTATGAGAAAGAAGATTATCTCGTCGGCCACGCTAGCACCGTCGCCGTCGACGGAGTCGATCTGGATATCGGATTCATGGTCTTCAATCGGGTCAGAATCCCCTCTCTCTCTCTCTCTCTACCTATTTTTGATTCCCAGCGAAGAAGACAATGCCTCGTTCTTGTTTTTTTTGTTTGGATTACTAGGCTCGCTATGGAATATTCTGTTCCTCTTCCTCATTTAAGTTGCAGTATTTTTTAAAGGATGACTGGGAAGAAAATATAAAATTTTGCTATCTTAACTACTCTCGAATATATATAATGGTTAGGATTTGTTTTTTTAAGTTCACAGAATTCAATCACCAGCTTATATATATCATTGTGTGCAAAGCTTCCCATTTAGGACTTCTTAATTGAGAATCTAACCTAATTTTTCATTACTTTCAAAAAAAATTATAATAAAAAGTAAGAAGTTGCTCTAAAAAATAATAAAAAAGTTGTGGAATATAATCACTAATAAGTTAATTATTAAATAAACTATACTTAATTAAATTTAATTAAATAATATAAAAATTATTACTTAACTAAGTACTGTAGATCTAAGTTCTTTAGATCTAGATCTACTCGTTGGATTGGCTGCAGGCTACCAGGTAAATCTAGATCTCTGAAAAAATGGTATCTAAATAATTAATAAAATTTAAAATTCAAATATTAAAAACTAAAAATGTTTAAATAAAAATACAAATATATATTATTTTTTCTAAATGTTTTTTTTTTATTTTAAATAATTTCTTTTTATATTTTATCATTATTATAATTATCTTGTAATTTTAATTATGTTGTGATATTAATCATTATTATTACAACT